GGCCATCCAGCAGAGGAGCCCCCTGCGGCCTCATCGGCCACCTCGGCGGGTGCATCCCCTGCGCATCAACCAAAAACCATGCCACATGAAAGCTCCATGACCAGAATGCAGGGGCTGCACGTCGGCATGGTGGATTTTTCTTTTTTGCAATGTGGCGTTCATCGTCATCATGTTTTACAGAACAAGACAATGGGGCACGCGCTTACTGGAGATGGCAGTCAAATGTTGTCCTAATTTCAGTTGCTGAGAACCGTCACATCGTGCGCGATGTGGCATGCGCTCAGTGGAGACGGGGCAGCCACACGCGACATCCATCTACCGATACGTATCCAGCGTAACGACTTGGCATCGTTCCACCTTCCACAAGCGCGAGCATGTGACTTTTGTGGGGCCCCTTTTCGATGTCAGACCGCCGAGTGGCCTGCCGCTGGGGAAGCACATTAGTCCTCAAAAGGAGCAACTCGCACTGCACAATAAATGACTTGACTTCCTCGCCACCGATATTGGGAGTGATATTATTTGGGGAACCGAATGAGTCCTCACCACCATAGTCCAGTGCGAGCCATGGGAGCAAGCCATGCCATTCTCTCCCGACTCTTATGGCGCACCGTCCAGATGAATCACGTCACTGGATAAACGCGAACGGCCGTGTGCTAAAGACCAGCAGCAGCTTAGCAAAAGCGGCAGTTTGGGTTCAGGGCCCGCACCCTCCTGCACAAGTCGTCTCCTCTGTTTCTACGTTTGCGTGTCGTTCTATAACACAGATCCCGGCGATGGCGAAGCCACACAGCATCAACTGTTTCCTGATAATGACCACGACTGTACTCCAGCGTCAAGTGGCAATGTCGGATAGGGCAGCTGCCACCTTGTATGGCGCATTCGTAGGTGTTGCGCAATGATCAAGGCCAATGGGGATATTGGTTTCCTAAGGTTCTTGATACGTTGGATCGGCAACAGGGAGTGTGGTGGTGCATGCTGTGAGCGTCGATGCACGGTAGTACCAGTTTGGCCTTTCGTGTGTGTCGCGCATGGCGTGACTGGAAGGTGAGCCCAGTGCGATGATTACCCAGTATGATTAACCACTGGGGCGAATATTTTGGTTGTATTGTGACCGCGTGCCTTCCACATCGTCGTGTACAGTAAGAACCATGCTTGGTCTTTACGGCTTCAGCACCCAGCATTTACGCAAATTTACGTGCAAGAATAATATTTACGCTTTTACGCATAAACAAGTTTTAAATTATGCAAATTTCGACCCCTGTACATAAATATAGTACATGCCAACACAGGGAGTCCGGGAAGTGGTAGCTAAATGCGCTGAAGCGGGCGGAAGAAGACCTTTGGTTTGACCACGCTTCGCCCTTGCCGAGGGTGAGGTGGATGCTGTGCTAGGGCTGCTCGAGAAGGCAGAGCACTGATCACTGTTTGCGAATCCATCATGCGACCAGGGTGTCCCCCCCGAGCCGTTAAAATAGACCCTTTCGCTCGCTTAAGTTTTTGCGCGCAAAAGCGTAAAAGCTTTTACGGATAAAACGTAAACTCAAAAATAAAGACCAAGCATGTTGGTGGAAACACAGTCTCATCTGGAGCCCGCCAGAACGGTAAATTTTCGTCAGCTTTGCGTCTTTCGCGAGAAAACCTTTCTCCTTTAAGTACTTATGTGCGTCGCACGCCCCAGAGCTACACGAAAATGTGGAAGGGATGAATAACCTAATTGCATTCGATGTTGTGTACCATTTGCATCGCCATAGCATCTACAATAACACATCGGGTTTGTTTTTATGAAATGCACGGTAACGTCCGTGAATGTGCTGGTTCATAAATGTGTTAGGGAAGCGTGATGTCGTTCACACTGAAAGGACATTGGGCTTTTGCTCTAATCGATCAAAGAGATGTCCCTTGTCCTGCCGAATAGTCATCGCCATGTGCCTTTTGAAATTCCATGTTGCTCTCTGCATCTGACCGTCATAGAGACGTGTTATCATCCCTTCAACAGGGGATATTTGTTCGGAAGATGTAATCTGCAATGTCACTGTTAAATGCCCCCCGCGCAGTAGGTCACACGTGCTCGATTGGTTCCAGCATTTGCTGAACATTGGATGCAAGCGGCACCTTGAAGGATGGCGCTAGGATCCAACTATCATGCAGAACCCTGGAAACAGTAGAAAACACCATTCTGGAGACTCCAAGTACGATGTCGTTTGGCACTCACTGATATTATCGCAATTGTTTTGATGCTATTGCAGACCATGTGATGGCGCCACTTGGTGTCCTTGTGGCGTCGCAATTGGACAAATGGTGTTTCCACCAGTGTGGACAACACCAATGCATCCAAATCTGACACATGTATGTTGCGTGCGATGCAATGGCAGATTGTGTATACCCCAAAATATTCAGCCCTTCCGCGTGGTAACGTAACGTCTAACCTTTTCTGTGGAGAAATACTACAAAAGCAGCAGTGCCAGGAAAGTGCACAACAGCCCCAACCGCAAGGCAAGGGCCCCTGGACTGGCCGCGGCATCTAGCTGTCCTGTATTCACCTTTCGTTGTGGTGAAAACAGGCTTCTGAGGCTGTTCAAACACAGCAGAGCAGCCATTGCGGCTTTGCCATGATGCGGAGCCCCCAAAATAACGGCCTGTCAAAAGAAAGCGGAGCCAAAATAGTAGTGGTGAAATTATCTGATTCGGAATGGCTGAACATTTCGGGGTAGGGTGATGGACACAGAGAAGAAGTATGAAGCAGCAGAACAACGGCTTTTGTTACACAAACATAGTGTATTTCATTATATGGTACATCATGCTCAGTGATAGGATTCACAGTCTGTTTCGCTTTGAGATGAGGAACAATGGGAAGGTGGTGCAAAATCCAGTGGAACGCTGTTCCGAATTAGGGCATAGGGAAGCCATAAAGTATCCGGAGGGATAGAAGGAACACATGAAATGGTGCTTGGATACACGACGGCACACACGCTTTCAGTATGTTGATTTTTCTTCTTCTTTATTCGCGGATCTTTCCTGCACCAGCCACCGAGTTCTGAAAACACAAGCATGTGATACATGGTCCCAGAATTCATTGAATTTGGCCATCGAACTAATTTCCACCTGCAACACCAGCCGGCGGCAAGCACTGCGTCAACCACCCAACTTAGCATTGTTCAAAAATGCCGATATTTTTCCTTGACGCTTCCAGATGACCTAATAGGTCATGATAGTATCATGCCAAGCTGAGCTGGTCCGTCATTCTCCACTGGCCATGCGCTCATTGAGAAATTTTACCATCTTCAAACGGGCCATGAGCGCCTCTGGAATGTTCCAATGAGAACCGAGAAAGTCGTGCCACATGCCTTCGTACACGTCCAGTTTTACATCCACGCCCGCAGTGTCCATCGTCTGGTATTGCCTCAAGGAATCGCTCAAGATTCTCTCCTTCGTGCCGACCTGAGGTCACAAATGCTGAAGTATTCCTTGCATAATGGGAACAGACGCCAAGATTTCCGTTGACAAAATCAAACACGGATGGCACACTTGTAAAACGGTGCCAGCAAGGCACTTGTGCGTAAACTCTTTCTTACATAACATTGGCACATACATGTGCGCTTTGTTGCGTAACAAAGCGAATGAAACAGCACCAAGTTGGGGACGTCGAGCATTGGTCTCAATCACATGCGTTTGCTCCCGTAAAGTTTGTTCGCGTGCGCCTCCAGTCAGCCGTACCAACTCATGCGGCTCCAGGTGGGAATAAAGACACGACAATGATCCCATTGCAAATGCACGTACGAAACTCTAACAATGAAAAAACAACACACAAAGGCAGGCAAAAGCGCTAACTATGTTGCTTTTCATCGCAGCAGAGCAACACCCACCTGAAAAAACAACACACATACGCAGAAAAAAGCGCTAACTATGTTGCTTTTCATCGCAGCAGAGCAACACCCACCTGAATTAGTGTCGGAGGAAACCCTTGCGTGTAGTCGCCGTACACGGGCGACACGTACGGATGCTTCTGGTCCGCCGGGTCTGCGTAGGCGTTGGAAAAGGGGTCTAACGACGAGTTTCCCAACACCGGGTCCTGGTTCAGCAGCGTCGCCCATGTGTCCCCGACAATTGTCAAATCCGTCCAAGGCGCCCACATGACGACGGCCCCCGGCATGCCCATGCCCTGGTCCCGCATTTTCAGGACAGAGCCTGCCACCAGGCCCCCGCCCGCCGAGGCCCCGTAGAGCGCCATGTCTTCGAGAAGGTGGCCCTCCTCTTGCAGGGCGGCCACGACGGCGACCACCTCGTCGGTGACCTGAGTTCCACACCGTGCTGACGAAAAATCGATGGCAGTCTCTGTCGGGAAGACTTCCCCACAGTTTTGCGCAGAATATATCCAATTACAAAAAACGTCCCAACTGTTCTTTCATTGTTTCAAACTGGGCATCTCCAGCCACAAAAGTTTTCAATAGTGCTCCTGCGATTTCAAGCTGGACGTGTCGGACAGGACGCCAGCTGTACCCGCCCACCGGCCGGCCTGTCATGTCACGTAATATGACTCACCTGCTCCCACTTGGCCTCAGGCGCCAGAGTGTAGTCCACCGACACCACCCCATCCCTGTGTCGTTGGCCACGGGCACGACCTCCCCAAGGGAGGTGTTGGCGCTGCGCAGCACGTACGCACCCCGTGCGCGTACACCAGCAGCCGGCCATCCTCCGCCCACCCCTTGGGCTTCACATCCAGGACCGGCACCCCGCCCAGGCGGCGCGAGACAATCGTCGGCTCGTACAAATCCACAGCCTGTCTCCCCACCTCGATCCAAGGCCTCTCGAACATCTCCCGCAGGGCTCGCCATCCCTCCAAATCGTCCGCGTCTGGGAAGGTCAAGCTGGGACCCAATGGCGGGAATCTGGCCAGGGCGTCGCGGGCCTCATTTGAGATCGTCACAGGCACGTGGAAGGCCGTCTGCTCGCCGCTGGCCCCCAGGAGGAGGGCCATGGCCGCGTAGGCGGCTGCGATGGCCGCCATGCCGGCCGGACGTGCCGACCGTCCGGACATCCGTCCCCGCCCCAAAGGAGATTCAAACCTCGCGGAGATTTAATCGGTGCAGAGCAGATTTGCTCTGCGCCGCTGGGCCCGCGGTGGCCGGGCAGGGTGGGGACTCTTCCCTGCGCGGCGAGGAGCTCCACTGTGAAACCTGGCTTGCTCGGGTGATGGTGGGGGGGTAGGGGTTTTGGCCGACGGGACGCGTCTTTGTCTGTTTTGTGCCTGAAGCGGAGAGTGTCGGGCGCGCTGCCGCGCTGACGGGTTTGTCGCCGGTTGCGCAATCCAGTCGAAAGGCCGCACCACGAGACTGGGAGGGGTGGGCGCTGGGGTGGTGCATCACCCTATTGCTGAGAACTGTCCCATTATGCGCGATTTGAGGCGCTCTCAGGGGATGGGGCAGTCAGTATGAGGTGCCCACGAGTACGAGTTGGGGACCGGGCTGTCCCCACGGGCCACGTGAGGCTGGTGTTTGTGACATAGATTAGATTTTCATGAGCCGAGCACAACCGCTGCTTTTCTAGGGCAAAATAGGAAGCCGACGGCTACCTTATTGCCTTGTTATGTAAAGGGATAATGATGATGATGAGGCTGTTCCCTGGTTGTCATAGGGCCATCATTCAAACACAGACCGTCATTACGGCCATCGCAACCACGTCATCCATCCAAACTTCCGCTTCCACGCATGCAGGCGGCACTGCCAATGCCCAGCGCGCCGTGTGTTCAGGATTATCCTACATCCTATTCGATACCTGGTAAGTGGGATAATCCACCACGCCAGCTCGAAGCCCCTGCCGTCCCGTCGCGCTGCCTTTCGACTGGATTGCGTGACCAGCGGCGAACCCTCCAGTGCGGCAGTGCGCGCGACGCTCCGCGCTTCAAGCACAAAACCCACATCGACGCGTGCCATCGGCCAAAGCCCCTTTCCCCGTTTCACCGCCGGCCTAAATTGCTGAGAACTGTCCCATCATGCGCTATGTGACATGCGCTTTCTGGAGATGGGGCAGGCAGGCACGACATCCAACTACCGAGAAGTATCGTTGGTAACAAGTTAGCATCGTTCCCAAAGCCGCCGTAAGCGCGAGCATGTGACTTTTGGATGCTCGCTTTAATGGATCCCTCTCCGATTTCAGGTTGCTGAGCGGTTCGCCGCTGGGGAAGCCCGTTTGTCCAAAACACGGGCAGCTCGCAGTGCAAAATATCTGATTTAGCTCACTCGCCACCAACATTAGGAGTGACATAATGTTTGGGAATCAAAGGAAACCTCATTGCCAGTTTTCGTTGCCAGCAATGAGAGCAAGCCATGGCATTCTCTCCCGACTCTTGTGGGGCACTGTCTAGATGAACCGCTTCAATTGGACACTTGACGCCAATGGCCCTCTGTGAAAAAAAGCAGCAACTTTGCAGAAGCGGCAGTTTGGGTTCAGGGACCGCACCCTCCTGCGCAAGACGTCTCCTCAGTTTCTGCCTTTGCTTGTCGTTTTATAGCACGGGTTGCGGCGATGGCGAAGCCATACAGCAGTAAATTTTCTTGCTAATGACGACGACTCTACTCCAGTGTCAAATGACAATATCGGATAGGGCGGCTGGCGACTTGTATGGCGCATTCGTAGGTGTTGCACAACAATCAGTGCCAATGGGGATACTGGCTTGCTAAGGCTCTTCATCCGTAGACTCGGCAACGGGGGGTTTGATGGTGCATGCTGTGAGTGTCAGCGCACGGGAGGGCCTTTTTCGCTTTTTATGTGTGTCGCGCACAGTGTGATTGAGAGGTGAACCCAGCATGATGAGTACCCAGTATGATTAACCACTGCGGCGAATATTTGGTTGCATTGTGGTCACGTGCCTTTCACATTCTCATGCACAGCAAGGACATCGACGCATGGGCTCATGCTTGCGAACGATCTGTCGTTGGGCGCCGAAGGTACCCAAATCGAGACAATCCCGTTCCCTGCGAGTTGATAATTTCTGCGTGCGATCGCATGATGTCTGAAAAAAGTTGCATATCCTACTAGTACTGACCCTCACGAAACAGAGTACCGCCCCATGGTGTGGGTGTTTCGCGGTGTTTCGCGAAACACCCGGTACTCAATATTCTGGGCGGTACTCTGATATTAGTACCGCCCCACAATGGGAAATTTAGATTGTGGTCTAAAACATGGAAATTATGTACCATATGATAATTTTCAGCTGTGAACACATGTGGATAGTGGTGTTCACAGGCTTGGTTTCCATCCAGCCAGAAATTATGTTCCATGTGGCCAGTTCCATGTCATACTGGAGGAGGCCCACCTAGCTGACGTCCAAGCACTTTGTCCATGGTAAAATGGTTTTGCAGCGCGGAATTTGCACCGCGACAATTGAACATCAGCAGTTTTCGACTACCGATTTGGCAAATAGACCTAAGTAGGAGTCTGACACTTCTTGAATGACCTCAAACGGGTTGGCGGTAACGAAGATCGTGCTAGCTGACGGCCCAGCGCCCTCTCCGGGACCAATCGCGGCGGGTGCAATTGGCGGTACTTCGTGCGCTTCTGAACGCCCGTGGGCAGGGTAGTTTTTTGGCAATTTGTTGATGCAAATGACAGCGGTGCACGAGGAATCAAATACGCAACATGTCAACGTCTTGACTCATTTTCTGATGGACGATTTTGGGCACGATATCTCGAATCACTGTTGAGTTTTGAGCTCAATGCAATGACGTGGTGCATGCCCACAGCCGCGTACATACTTTGTTGGCTCTGGCGCATAGCCATTGACGACGTTCAATTTCCCTTGGTGTCGGTGAACTTATCCACGCTGTACCTCTGCACGTCATAGCCCCTCTTGGCTCCAGATTTCTGCGTGGCCAGCTGCGCGGGATGATGGCTGTTGCTATGATTTCCCAAACAAGGCTGCCATGCACGTAACTCTAGACTCTTGGGATGCGGACTTACATCTTTGCGCTACTTTCCTTGCCTGCTGCTCAAGCCAACAGCTCGGTATGACGCTGAAAGATGACGCATTTTGGCAGCGCGCAGGCATCCCAATATTAGCAGGCCGCATGCCATCACGATGCATCGGACTGGTGCATAACTACATAAGCTTCTGTCCGTAATCATCATTTGGCCCCACCAATCTTGAAATAGATCTTATTTCAGATCACTTGTTCCATATTGTCCTTGGGCAAATAACGGGATGTGAAGAATGATATGCCTCCTCGCTGGGCATTGTGTTCACGATGCTGAGCATCGGGTGCATCAACAATGCACTTACCGAAGTCCAGTGTCTGGATTTTGGCGGAGCAAGCACAGGTGGTGAGGGGATGGGTGAGGGCAGGGCGAATCGAGTTGGTGGGCTGAGTTGGGGAGGTGTGAATCGTGCTAGCATACAATGATGCCAAACCAATCAAGCACATGGCAGGGCATCCAGAAAACTGCACAGTTTCGCCTGCCAGGCAGGGAGCAGGCACCCTCCAAGCGTAATAGGTGGATGTGCAGCCTTGAATCCTGTTCACAGGATTTGCATGGCGATTTCAGGGGCCAGACTGGGATTGAGCGTGTTGCCAGTTAGTCACTGGCAGTGACCCCACAGCACAGGGTACCTGAGAACGAAACCTTGAACTTGCAAAGGTCTGGCACACTAAAAAGGAACCGCCAAGACCCCTCCCACCCCCCAGTGTTCATCACACCATACTCAGGATCCTGAATCAAGCGCCTGTTCTTTTTTCGCATTCAATTGAACTTTCCATTCGAATTACAAACCGCTTCCCATGTCACCCATCGACCCAGTATTGGATCCTGCCCAGTTCCTCTTGCAGAAATTACATTGCATAGTCGTTGGTGAGCTGAGCAGTAGCCTGTTCCCACTCTCAAATATCACACAGTCGTAAATGAGTTGCTTCAGGGCTTTGGGCCACAGCTGTTGAAATCGATGCCCCACAAGCGATGCCACAGAGCTGAGCCCTCCAAGGTTTCGTTGCCACAGGGCAAGGGGTTGGAGTGGCCCTTGACGTCCACCACATTCCCACAGCATCACTCCCATGGAGAACATGCCAATTTTATCGTTGAGCGGCATATTCTTCATGAGACGGACGAGCAGCACTTCCAGCGCCATGCCTCCTGCAGAAACGCAAAAATAAAGCCATTGAATCTGAGAATCTACTGAACCGCAGAGCTTTGTTTTCCTTGTCTGCATTTTCGATAGAGCAAAGTACATACGGCACTGCCAATCTCAAAATCATCGCCGTGGTAGCTCCATCAACCCCACATTTGAATGCTAACAATCAAGCT